TGCATGTGGCAAAGTCTAATACAATTTCACTTTCCCTTACAAGCTTCCCTATGTCTCTTCAATGCTTATCATTTTCCCTTGGCCCTCCTCACCATCTAACCTATTCTGATCTATTGTTTGATTTTCTTTCTCCTCTACTAGAATATAAGCTCCCCAGGAAGATAAGGATTTTTGTTCACTGTCCTATCCTGAGAGCCTAGAACAGAAACTCCCACATAGTAGGTGCTAAATATTTGCTGTATGAATAAGTTTCATTGGGTTGGAGTGATGACCCTAGACAAGCTAGATAGAAAGTGCTAGAGAAACCAAAGCAAATGGCATGTGATACAATGGGGTGCAGGGCACTTTCCCTGGTCAAGATGAGGCACACACAGGGATGAAATCAGTACAGAACAGTACAAAGGCTCCATACAACAAAATCTCACTAATTAGGACCATGTACAAGCTGTATACTGTTACCCTGTTTATTTAACTTATATTCAGAGCACATCATGTGAAACACCAGGCTGGATGAAGCACAAGCTGGAATCAACACTGCTGGGAGAAATATAAATAACCTCAGATATGCAGATGACACCACTCTTATGACAGAAAGTGAAGAGGAACTGAAGAGCCTCTTGATGAAAGTGAAATAGGAGACTGGAAAAGCTGGCTTAAAGCTCAACATTCAGAAAATTAAGATCATGGTATCTGGTCCCATCACTTCATGGCAAATAGATGGGGAAACAATGGAAACAGTGACTGACTTTATTTTCTTTGGCTCCAAAATCACTGCAGATGGTGACTGCAGCCATGAAATTAAAGACACTTCTTTCTTGGAAGAAAAGCTATGACCAACCAGACAGCATATTAAAAAGCAGAGGCATTACTTTGCTGACAAAGGTCCGTCTAGTCAAAGCTATGGTTTTTCCACTAATCATGTATGGATGTGAGAGTTGGACTGTAAAGAATGCCGAGTGTCAAAGAATCAATGCTTTTGAACTGTGGTGTTGGAGAAGACTCTTGAGAGTTCCATGGAAAGCAAAGAGATCAAACCAGTCAATCCTAAAGGAAGTCAATCCTGAATATTCATCAGAAGGACTGATGCTGAAGCTGAATATCCAATACTTTGGCCACCTGATGCAAAGAACTGACTCACTGGAAAAGACCCTGATGCTGGGAAAGATTGAAGGCAGGAGAAGAGGGTGAAAAAGGATAAGATGGTTGGATGGCATCACCGACTGGATGGACATGAGTTTGAGCAAGCTCCAGGAGTTGGTGATGGACAGGCAAGCCTGGCATGCTACAGTCCATGGGGTCACAAAGAGGTGGATAGAACTGAGCAAATGAACTGAACTGAACATCTTGCAAGATTCTCCTCACAGCTCTGTACAAGAGAACACTTCACCGAAACAAGCTGAAAGGGGAATTCACCAGGGACATTCTGTCTGGTGCAGTTGCTGACAAGTGGAGTCTCCCTGGGGACCGCCTTCTGCAGGAGAATTTCTGAAGACTGCAGACAAAGGGAACAGATACTAGAACTCTAGGACATAACTGTCATCTGATTTTCCAGTGTTACCTACTCTACCTTTGGGGGAAAAGATACTACCTTTGTTGAAAATGTTTGGACTAATTGATGAGATCTCCCACCATACTAACTCCTCTCTCTCTCTCTCTCTCTTTCTCTAATATGACATACATTAAAAGAAAAAATGTTTTCTCAAAGTAATGTCCCCAATCAAGTACTTCCCAAAGACTCCTGGAGTTTTCTCCTTGGAACCCCATACCAGCCACAGCGCCTGAAATTGACATCCTAACAGAAACCAGCCCAGGAGAATCTGGGTCCCCATCCCAGCTCTACTGCTTAACTGACTGCATGGCTTTGGGCAAATAATGCATCCTCTGTGACTGCACTTTCTCATCTTTACAATGAGTCTAAAATCTATGCTAACAATTTGTGGAGAGTAAGTTAATAAACATGAGATCACATCATGAGGAAAAAAGTACAAGATGCACTTCTATTAAGATGATGCACTTCTATTAAGATGATGTTATGACATAACTTTGGGCTTCACTGATACATAGAAACTAAGAGTACTAACAGTAGTTCAGTGCTTCCTCTGACTGTAGCAGTAGGAAGATGGGAAAGGGCCACACAGTATTCAATTCTGTGCCTACTCCTCAGTTCCAAAGTATTCATTATTTTTCTATGTTCAAGCAAGACCTTCTCCTCCAGTGTATCTGTAGCTCAATGGAAAACCCAACCACTGAGTCCCTCTCCTGAAATGAAAGGTTCTTTAGCCTCAGATCTGAAACATGCAAGGACAGGACATCTTTCCTGGGAACAAACCCTTTCTTCTAAACATTTTAAATTTCCCTCTCTGTGTTTCTTTCATAAGCACAAACCTTTCAAGCTTCTTAACAGGATGCTCCTTGCCTTTCAAAAAAACACTGAAAATTAAATTACCAAGGGAAGTTCCAGAAGCATCTGGGGAGCTCTAGGTCCCTATGAACTTTGTGCCTGATTACTTTTTCAACCATCCCTCAAGACCACAAAAGGGGAACAGATTATCTATCGATTGCCACTCAGGGTGCCTACAAACTAATGCCTGATGTGTATCTCTCTTCTTGTTGCTATCTGAAAATATCCAGAGGACAAAGAATAAGTCTATGGAAAAAAATAAGGCAATACTGGTTCACGCTGAGCTGTAACAATACTGTACTGTATTTGTGAAGTCTCATGACATAGAATGGATTATCATTTTGATAGGATCCATCAGTGAGTCCCTGAGCAGATGTTCATTTCTGCCTCCTCAATATCAAGCTCTGTGCTAAACAGGGATAAGCCTGACAGGTTCTCCTTTATAGACATCAGACTAGTGGATAAGCCAGGTCCACCAACAACCCATCATGTGAGACCTGAGGTGGTTGGACCTGGAAAAGCAGCCATAATGTTGGAAAAGAGGAGAGGGATATGAGAAGGAAGTGAGGACAAGCTGGAATTAAACAGAATTTTCTTCATCAAATCCATCAGTTATTTCCTGTCATATTTTATCTTACTGTCTACATGATGAACAATCTATTGCCTAATATTTGAAGAAACCATAGGCATATTTATGAAAGTATTAAAATATATAACATTATGGTGCATCCCCCTAATAATGATAATTTCTCACTATATTAGAAAAGACATGATTTTAATCCTTTCCTTATACTGAGTGGAGACCAAGTGGCACAGATGTAGTAGCTGGCTTGTTTCTTTATCAGAATATTTTTCATTCAATTAAGTTCCACTTTAAAATGCAGGTCTCCTCAGTCTCTGAACTCTCACTCTCTGAAGATTTGCCATAATGATCTACTAATTGACACAAAATTCATTACCCAAACATACTAAAGAAACCTGCTGCAAGCTGCATGCAAGAATATGTTCAAGTCATGTACCCTCGGGTAGAAGGGTACGGTTGGCTGCTGTTGTAGCTCAGGTGTTCTCACAGAGAAGCACCTAGAGCTCCTGTTTAAACACTGTGTGCTGCACAGATATCCCCTCTCCCACCTTATGCACTAAAAGGTCTTCTAATAAAGTAGAGGAACTAATGAAGGACATGGGTAAGTCTAAGAGGCCCAAAGAACCGCATGCACTACAAGAAACACTGTAGTGTTTGATAAAGCACATTAAGAATTTTGAATGGCTGTTAATCTTAAACTTGGCCATGAACATGTCCCTAACTCCTATGAACCATAAATATAGTGATGAATATGTACAAGAAATTTGAGATTCTGCAAAAAAAAAATCTTGCTGGGGCACATGAGTGTGATGGTGGCATGAGCACAATTACATTGTGACACAATTACAAACTCGGGCATGTGTTAGTGAGAGTTGTAGGGTGCCAAGCAAAGGGAATACAAACAGACTGCCACCACAAGCTCTGTTTTTCATCCTGTGGCTCTGTGTGTAGCTTTAGACAATGGTTCCTCACCAGACACTTCTGAGCTCTGCTACCAGAAAGGGAAGATTCTCCCCTCTTCCTCAGATTCAGACACAGATGAACCTCAGACATTTCCTGTTTAACTCATTTCTTCACCGGCTCTTTCTTCCTTACCTCATTCCACCACCAAAGCCTAACAGAGACCATAGCCTCCAGCTCCCTCCTCCCACCACCAGACCTCACACAAACATGCCTTCCATCAGAAGAATCCTCTCAAAGCATCATCTTGTTTAGTTTATTTTGCTAACTTTTACTGGCATCTAGTGCTCTTTAATGTATTATTTTGCTATTTATTTACATCTCAACATACACTGCAATGTAGAAGGAATATGTAATACTTTCTCAATATCCTACACTGAGCAATGTCTACTATTATGGCTTACTACATATACAATATCTACTAATGAGTTTATCAAATATGAAGTGACTAGATAGTATTGCAAACAATTTCTATTTTGTAAAAATTCTTGGCAGATTGTTAAATAGGCAAATTAAGGAGTTTTAGTGACATCTAGCAAGTTGGCATTTTCCTTTAGATTAGGAGTGCATTTTTATTTTTTCCAGTCAAAATAATGGAATTACTCCCTTTGTTCTCTGAAAATTTGTTAACAAACAAATGTTAAAGAATAGATTAGATTCACAAAAAAGAGGAGCACCTGTATAATAGCAGTTACTACAATGCTTATTTGTTCTTCTACCATTTAAATTGTTTCAAGAAAAAGAAGCAATCAAGTCTATGTGTACAGGTATTGTCTTAATTTGAAAGTAATTAAATGTGTCAGTTAATGTTGCTCTGTTTATCGCTTTATTTCTTTCATAGAAAGCCAATTACTCATATTTATATTTAGTTAGAAAAAACACGAATTATACTAGCTGAGAAAGGAAATTCAAACTAGTAGATTGCTCATTTGGATTCAATTGTTTTCTTTTTCCATTTTGATGGAAAAATAGTCATAGATGTGATTTCTCTTGTTTCAGTTTTGTTGAACAGAAGTGTACCCTAGTTCCCCATTACTTACAACATTAGCCTCTCACCTGTGGTCCTCAGATGGCCTATCCCCATCCGAATTTGGGACCAATGGACCAACTTCACGAGACTTATTTAAGTCGCAAAAGCCCTGCAGAAAAATTGGCATTTTAGATACTTAAAATGTACTTACATAGTAAAAATATCTGACATATTTGTATAGGTTGTAGTAAATTTGAAAATCCAACTCATCTATATATCATTGTGAGAAAGGCACTCAATTTCACAGATGTGAAAATTGAGGATTTGAGAGCTAGGATGATTTGGTCAAAGATGTACAACTAGTAGATGCAGGATCAAGGTAGGTCTACTTCAAAGTTGAACTCTTGAGTTCACCACCCTTCCACTGCTACATAGCCACTCTGGGAACAAAGTCTTCCTCCAAAAAGCCCTCTTTTCTCACAAGATTTGTTCTTTGAAATGACCACTAATATGAAACAAATATCTCAGAAACCCAGAGAAAAACTGGCATAGGTCACAAACAGAAATCCTTGTGCCAAGAGGGAGCCCAGGGTGAGGGTGCCGTCTCAAATGAGATTTTTCTTTCTCAGATGAGGAAGTAGATTTGGGGGTTGTTGATGTTTTAGTTGCTCAGTCGTATCTGACTCTTTGTGACCCCATGGACTGTAGTCCACCAGGCTCCTCTGTCCATGGGATTTCCCAGGCAAGAATATTGGAGTGGGTTGCCATTTTTTTCCTCCAGGGGCTCTTCCCAACCCAGGAATCTTCCCAACCCATGGCTTCTGCATTGGCAGGAAGATTCTCTACCATTGAGCCACCTCTAAATGGGATGTCTGCCTTCTCATGGCAAATATGAGAGCTCAAATCCCAGAGAACTGCTGGAGTGGGATACTGAATGGGGCCAACAGACTCAGCAACTTACTTCAAATGCTTTTCTCTTGACTAATTTTCTTACTGTCTTAACTTTAGGGGGAAAAAAGATCACATAGATCACTACTCTAAATTGAGTGTAAAGAAAGCCCTCACATCTTCTGAAATGTGGTCAGTTAAAGCCCAGATTTTAAACCAGAGAGGAAAAATAAAGCAGATCTTTTGCCCCCTCTGGATTGTAATGATACTAATAATAATGATAAAAATGACTATGATGATCATGACTGTAAGGACTCATATTTACTGAGTGCTAACCATATACCTTAGCGGCAGCAGCAACCATATACCAGGGGCTGTCTTATTTGCACTTCACAATAACCCTCAAAGAGGCACTGTTTTCGCCATTTATAGAAAAATAACCTGAGGCTAAAAGATGTAAGTGACTTGGGTAAGGTCTTGTAGCTAGTAAGAAAGGTTGTGAACTCTGGACCCAGAGGCCTCTCATGTAAGTACACGTATTGTATGTTACAACATCATCACATTAACAACTTTGTCTAGTCATATGACGGCCTTTGTTCCCTGGAACTCTCCATGTGAGTTACTACCTCATGACTTTTACAGCTGCTGGACCCTCTACTTGGACTGCCTTCCTTTCTTTCCTGGGTTGGCATCTTATCGTCATTCACAGTCTCTGTTCAAAAGGCACATCGTCAGAGAGAGACCTTCCCTGACATTCTACTGGACTCCCACTTCCACCAGTCATTAGCACACAATTCTGTTTTATCATCTCCATGACATCTGTTAATGTTACTTGTCTACTGTCTTTTTTTTCTAGCACTGAGCACAGTGCCTGGCACACAGTAGGTGCTTGCTAAGTACACCACTTGGTAAATAACCCATTAGTCCGAACCAATCAGATGAATCTAAAGATGAAAGATGTTTCCTTTTTTTTCCTGTTTTTTTTGAGACAGAATCTGGGAATTCTCTATTAGAAAGATACTAAGTGAGCAACGGGCAGACAGAAGAGCTGCTTCAAAACTCACCTGGTCACACGCCTTCTTTTATCCACCTGCCAAAATGGTGATTTCTCTTACTGTGTCCCAGACCCCAGATCCTGTATACTTGTTTAATAGTATATCAAAACCACTTGTCAATGAGTGTGCATTTCTTTGGGGTGTTCATCTTCTGAAACACAGGAGCTGGTCTTTTCTCACTCACATATCCTAACACAGCCCTCTGCACACATCAGGTGCTTTAGCAGTGCTGTACAGTAGCTGAGAGACCAAAGAGGACACGTCCCTTTAAAGGAAGCCTGCATGGCCACTATGGGGGAGACACAAACCCAACATACTTACCCGTAGAATCTGAGCCCTAAGAACACAAATGGTCCCCACCAGGTAATAGGAATCCTCCAAAGGAAGATACATGGCAGGTGACCCACAGGTATATTTGGAGAAGCAGCTGCGGAACATCACAGGAGGCTCTAAGGGAGAGAGAGACACACAAGTGACAATCTAATAGAAAAGCAGGCCAGGTACACAAAAGAACAGTCACCTGTCCCATCCGTGTGCCATTTATCAACCCATTGACAATTTTCAGAATTCTGAGCCACCAATTTTTCCTGTCTTCCTTACATTCCAAACCTCCCCACCCTGGTCTCCACCAGAACAAGGAGTCATTACTGGGAAATAATTGTGAGTTCAGGGTGATTTTTCAGTCTTCCAATCTTACCTTGTGAATGGACATTTTAACTCCAAAAGAAATTTGCTCCCCTTCTTTACATAAACCGTGTAGGTATAAAATATTTGTAATTTGCATGTACATGGAATCAAGTATTTTTTAAGGTATTTGACTTTTAGTTTCCAAGGCATGTGACAAAGATACCTGGCAACCACTGTGTGAGCTAATTTTCATTCTTTACTTACCCATTCATTCATTTGTTATATTTTTAGAGCTCAGTGGCAAAGAACTGAGTTAATTATATTCTTAGTTCATGGCATATTATGAACACAGATAAAATTCCAACTCTCATTTTTATTTATTTTTTCTCTCTGTCCCTTTCCCACCCATAGGGATCCACTATTATCTACCACCTTTAACATGTGGTCAAATATACCACCCTGTCAAATGTGTGCTAACTTGCTTCAGTGGTGTCTGACTCTTTGCAGCCCCATGGACTGTAGCCCACCAGGCTCTTCTGTCCATGGGACTTTCCAGGTAAGAATACTGGAGTGGGTTGCTGTGCCCTCCTCCAGGGGATCTTCCCAACCCAGGGATAGAACCCACATCTTTTATGTCTCCTGCATTGGCAGGCGGGTTCTTTACCACTAGCGCTACCTGGGAAGCCCCAGTCAAATATGTAGCATGGTTCTATGTACTATTATGTTCTCACAATTTACAAAAGTTGTCTTGTGCTATAGATCTCATTGTTTCTCAATGAACAACATGGTTTTAAGATCTAACCAATGGTATTATGTATATCTAGAGTTCATTATTTTAACTACATAAAGTTTTATGTATTGTATATTTCCCCCAAATTTTACTCGTTCATTTCCCTAATGATTACACCTAGGCTGTCTCCAACTCCCTCCTACTACAAACAACACTATGACATACATAATGCAAATCCCCTTAGACACAGATCTCTGCAGCTTCGCCTCTGTGGTATCTCCATCCAGTGATAGGATTACTGAGTTACAAGATAACTGACTTAAGTTCACTCTGTTTTCGTGGATGGCTTCATGAGTTTACATTCCTCTCAACACTGTATTAGTGTTTTCATTTCTCACATCCTCACCAATATTTGGTATTATTCACACTGTTAATTGTTGCTGTTCTGATGTGTGTACATTGCTACTCATTGGTTTTTTAATTTTTCATTCTTTACTTACTAGTGAGTTTGAGCATCTTTTCACATATCTGTTGGGCTATTTACCTCAGATTCAAGCCCTAGATCTTTTAATGATCCCAAGAAAGTGTTTATATTAATTTATCAGCATGTGGTTCCTGAAGCCTTGAGAATTTCAAATTCTGATCCTGTATTCACATTAAGACACACAGATTTGGGTTTTGATTTCCTCTAAATAACACATACTTTTGCATTCAAACTCTGAGAGAGTTAGCACACTTACTCTTCATCTAAACCAATGGGCAGAATTTTACTGATCATTTTAAGTCTCTAAGATTTATGTGTTGGTCCTTGAACAAGTGTTACTACTCCAGACTGCAGTCAATAGAATCAATGTATGATTTAAAAATCAATTAGGCCCAGCACAAAATCAACTTCTTATCACTGTGTCCTGTATTTTATCCTTTCTTTAAGGTTGTCTGTGCAATAAACTCCTTAGGTTATGTTTAAGCAATAATTTCCTTGTTTTTTGTAGAAGGAAAGAGCCCTCCTTATCAGCTCAGTCTACCATGTTACCATATGACCTCACCTTGTCAATTTTGCTATAACTTTTTAAAGTCTAATTAATGTTTGTGGTCCACCAAAACCTGTGGTCACAGGGGTAGCAGAGAGAGTGCCAACAGTAGAAAGGCGTTTATATTACTGATGAAGGGCTGAATAACTCATGAATTTCTTATAAATAAGATTAAAAACTATTGATTACCACTAGAAACATCCTTCAGAGTCAGGATGACTTTAACATATTCATAAGCAGAGGTGTTACTGGATTCAGCATCTCCTCTTTTGAAATGACAGCAAAAGTCAACATGCTTTCCAACTAAAAAAAAAAATAACAGACACAAAACAATTTTACATTTGTATTTAACTATATTCTGAAGGATTATATCATATGACTATTGCCTTACTTAGACTAGATTTTTAAAATATTATTTTCTTTTCATGAATATTAGCACTTGCATAGCTATCTATGTTGTATCTATAGAGTGGTTCACTTCAGTTCAGTTGCTCAGTCCGATGCTTTGCAACCCCATGGACCACAGCACGCCAGGCCTCCCTGTCCATCACCAACTCCCGGAGTTTACTCAAACTCATATCCATTGAGTCAGTGATGCCATCCAACCACCTTATCCTCTGTTGTCCCCTTCTCCTCCTGCCTTCAATCTTTCCTCTACCCCTATAGAGTGGGGTATCACCTAAAACATAATTTACATAATACTTATACAATTATACAAAAGCTGAAAAACTGAAAGTTCATGATAAAGAACAAGATTTAATAGTGGAGAAAGTTTAATATTAGAAATAAAATTTGCAAAATTATAGCAAGTTAAATTAATATATGATCGGCAGCTATATTAGCTCTAATGTCTTTATTTTTATTATTCCTTTAAGTGATTGTTATCTGTCTCTTAAAATCTAAGCATTTACTATTTGAAAAAAGAAAAAATCTGTACCTGAGCTTGACACAGGAATTTTGAAAGACATCTTTGAAAATACTCCACTTTTCTCAGTATCAGGCAGAAGGCTTAAGAAGGCTTTACCCACGATGCCATTCTCAAGAGGGAAAGAGGGAATCAATTTTGTTATATGCATTACTGGCATTTAATTTCTCTATCTCCTTACCGCCATTAAGCTTATGACCTGCCCCACCTCACCCATCTTATAGTCAGACCTGTTAAACTTCTAAAGTCTCAATTCACATTGACCCATTCTATGACCATCACCTCCTACCTTCCCAGTGTGTTCATGCAAGTATTTGTTTATTTGGCTGTGCTGGGTCTTAATTGTGGTATGTGGGATCTTTGATCTTCTTTCCACCATGACAGGCCCCCTGCATTGGGAGCTCAAAGTCTTAGCCAGTGAACCACCAGGAAAGTCCCTCAAATGTATTTTAAATAGCATCAATTCCCTGACATTCTCTTCCTGTCTTTTTGTATACCACTTATCGCTACCTGACATCATAGTCACATGTATAAAATATACAATATAAAATAAAATAATGGATAGAGTCCCTCAATAAAATATAACTTACATTAAAAGACAGACCTTGACTGTCTTATTTACTGCTACATCCTCAACACCTAAAACACAGTCTGGCATGAGTGAGCACCAATAAGGTTGGATGAATGAATAATGCTGTACCATGTAGTTGAAACGTGGTGACATGAATTAACTGAATATCAGACATTAAGAGTTTTTTTTCATTTATTTTTATTAGTTGGAGGCTAATTACTTTTATTAAGAGTTTTTAATGTGATAGAAACAAAATAATAAGCAAAGTACTCTTTGTAGTTTAATGATGGCTTTGGGTGATGAACTACAAATTAAAATGATTTTAACTGGTTAATATTAATAATCTACAGTCAAAACTCAGAAATGTATTTTTATGGAACATTTGTAGAAGCCAGCCTACAAACTGGCCAATGCTCAAATTAGCAGATGGCTCCTGTCTCAATCAAGAAAAATCTTGGCTCAATGCAGGGCAGAAATATAACCCTAGTTTAGCAAAAAAAACACGAATTAATAGGCAATAGGTTTTGACAATGAAAGTCACATAGTAAGAAACTGACTTCTCAAAAGGATATTTCTCTTTCAATTTAACTTTTTCAATGAAAATACTTTATTGATTTAGTTATAAAATACACTTTAGGTACCAAACCAAGTTATCTCTGATCAGTAGAGACCACTCATTCATTCCTTCACCTAACACCTGATTAACAACTGCTCCATACCAGAACATTGTACTACATACATTCAAACTAACTAGCTCACCTAATTAGATTCCCTGTGAGAGGAAGAACTCTCCTCTATTGAATTCATGAGGAAATGGAGGCTTGTACAATTATGGAGAGGAAAGAAGTTCAGAGATGAGATTCACACCCAGCTCCACCCAACTACAAATTCATTGTTCCTTTTACTACACCACAACTACCGCATTTTGGATATTTTACCTGAAGCAAATTATTATTATTATTATTTTGCTGAAACCTCTGATAGTTTAAAAAGATGAACCTGACATGTTTATTCTAAATTTCAATGAACACAAAGTTCAGTAGGGAAGACAACACATGCACAATTACAATGCATAGTATAAAATAATAGGTTGATATCATTTCAGCCCTGGAAATAATAAATAATAAATAATAACAATAATACCCCAACAAGAGGTACAAAGTGCTAAGGCTCACCAGTTCTTTCATTGGTAGAAGAAAGTATAGCATTGTCACCTAAAAGAATTCAAAGTTGATAGGGTCCACATGGGGTCTCACTCACCTGGGCACCTCTGGAATTCAGCAGCATGTCTCTTTGGTATGCTGCTGTCCCACCACCCTCAGGGGGCAAAGGTGGGAGGTGGGGGGAAATGAATTACCAAAAGCAAACAGCAGGGGTACGCCAGCAATGACACTTGGGGCATACACCCAACAACCTCACAGATTACATGCTTCCTCTCCAAACAATCATAACGCCCTGCAGAGCAAAGGAAAGCCCTGTCCTCCAACATGTGGATGATCTTCTCCTTTATAGTCCTTGGCTTACACACTCTCAACATCACACTACACAACTCCTTAATTTTCTAGCTGATAGAGGCAATCCAGTATCTCCCAACAAGGTTCAGCTTTCTCTTCCTAGAGTCATCTATCTCGGAGTCCTTTCAACACCAACAAAAAGATACATTACCACCGATAGAAAATCCCTTATATCTACCCTACCATTCCCTATATCAAATGTTATAAAATATTTTAGTGCTCAGTCTGGTTTTTACATTTTTGTATTGTTATCTTGTTTTATAGGTTGTCAGCCCCTCCCCTAATCTCCCCTTCCTCTCTGCCATCTTATCCTGAACTAACGCCCAGAACAGGTTGGATGACACCATTTAGAGGCAGGGAAGAGCCAAAGTAGAGATTTGGTTCCAGCTTTCAAGTGCTAACTTCCTACTGTGCAGGGCATGATGGCATAACATTGTCTGCTTGTACCCCTTGTCCCCAGTGTACAGGATCTTTGCACACGTGTCTGAATCATTGAGGGGTTTCCTCTGCTCTTCAGGGCGTTACATATTGTTTGGGGAGGAAGCATGTGATCTGTGAGGTTATTGGGTGTGTGCCCCAAGTGTCAGTTGCTGATGTACTCCTGCTGTTTGCTTTTGGTGCTGTATTTCCCCTCAGCTCCCACCTGTGGCCCCCTGAGGGTGGCAGGGCAGCAGCATATCAAAGAGACAGACTGATGAATTCCAGAGGCACCCAGGTAAGTGAGACCCCTTGTGGACCCTATCAAAAGTGAGCAGTTGGATGCATGAGACAAGTGCTCAGGGCTGGTGCACTAGGAAGACCCAGAGGGATGGGATGGAGAGGGAGGCGGGAGGGGGGATCGGGATGGGGAACACATGTAAGTCCATGGCTGATTCATGTCAATGTATGGCAAAAACCACTACAATATTGTAAAGTAATTAGCCTCCAACTAATAAAAATAAATGGAAAAAAAAAGTCAGCAGGTTTTTTTGATCATGCACATTCTCTTGGATGGAAATAGCAGCCATAAGTTATTTATTAATTAACTACATTCTTTAGGGAAGGTGACAGTGACAATGCATGCTTGAGCATGTTCAGTCGCTGTGCCCAACTGGTTGCAACCCCATGGACTGCAGCACATGAGTCCTCTGTCCTCCACTGTCTCCTGGAGCTTGCTCAAACTCATGTCCATTGAGTTGGTGATGCCATCCAACCATCTCATCCTGTCATCCCCTTCTTCTTTTGCCTTCATTAGGGTCTTTATTATTGCCAGCATTAGGGTCTTTTCCAATGAGTCAGTTCTTCGCATCAATCAGGTGGCCAAAGGATTGGAGCTTCAGCTTCAGCATCAGATCCTCCAATGAATATCAGGGTTGATTTCCTTCAGGATTGACTGGTTTGATCTCCTTGCTGTCCAAGGGACTCTCAAGAGTCTTCTCCAGCACCACAGTTCAAAAGCATCAACTCTTCACATTCCAGGATGCCTGGCTCTAGGTGAGTGATCACACCATCGTGGTTATCTGGGTCATGAAGACCTTTTTTTGTATAGTTCTTCTGTATATTCTTTCCACCTCTTCTTAAAATCTTCTGCTTCTGTAAGGTCCATACCATTTCTATCCTTTATTGTGCCCATCTTTGCATGAAATGTTCCCTTGGTATCTCTCATTTTCTTGAGATCTCTAGTCTTTCCCATTCTACTGTTGTCCTCTATTTTTTTTTTTTTTGCATTGTTCACTTAAGAAGGCTTTCTTATCTTTCCTTGCTATTCTTTGGAACTCTGCATTCAGACTGGTGTATCTTTTCTTTTATCCTTTGCCTTTTGCTTCTCTTCTTTTCTCAGCTATTTGTAAGGCCTCCTCAGACAACCATTTTTACCTTTTCACATTTCTTTTTCCTGGGGATGTTTTTGATCACTGCCTCCTGTACAAAGTTAGAAACCTCTATCCATAGTTCTGGCACTCTATCAGATCTAATCCCTTGAATCTATTTGTCACTTCCACTGTACAATCATAAGGGATTTGATTTAGGTCATACCTGAATGGTCTAGTGGTTTTCCCCACTTTCTTCAATTTAAGTCTAAATTTTGCAACATGAAGTTCATGATCTGAGCCACAGTCAGCTCCATGTCTTGTTTTTGCTAATTGTATACAGCTTCTCCATTTTTGGCTGCAAAGAATATAATCGATCCCATTTTAGTATTAGCCATCTGGCAATGTCCATGTGTAGAGTTGTCTCTTGTGCTAGAGTGGTATTTCTTATAAAGTTCTTCTTTGTATTCTTGTCACCTCTTCTTAATCTCTTCTGCTTCTGTTAGGTCCTTGCCATTTCTGTCCTACCCTTATAGCCTATTCTTAATACGAGATCCAGAGTGATTCCGATAAAACTTAGATTCAGATAATTTCCTGCATCAGCTCCAAATGGCTTCCTCCCATCTCTGAGGAAAAGGCAAAGTCATTACAATGGCCCTAAACCAGGTGACCTCTATTACTGCTCTGACTTCATCACCTCCTACAACTTTTCTTCATGCTCACAGCACTCCAGTCCCAGTGGCCTCTTTATGATAGCTTTTCACACCAAGTATACTCCTGCCTTAGTGTCTTTTCACTTGCATTTGCATCTGTTTGGAATGCACTTTCTGCATGACTCACTCATCCTGTTCTAGTACCTGTCGAAATGTCACCTGATCACACAGGCCTTCACTAACTACACCATGTGTAATAATCCCACCTCCAGTCACTCTCTGGGTAATACTGTCCCCTACTGACAGATGAGAAATGAAAGCTCATGTAGTTAGTGACTGAGAGTTAAATTTTAATCTCTAGATTATTTGACTCCAAAGACCAAGTTCTTTCCACCTCACCATCCTATCGGCTTGGAGTTGCCCAATAGACAGAGGTTCAGTTCAGATGCTCAGGCATGTCCGGCTCTGCAACCTCGTGGACTGCAACACGCCAGGCTTCCCTGCCCATCACCAACTCCTGGAGCTTGCTCAAACTCATGTCCATCCAGTCAGTGATGCCATCCAATCATCTCATCCTCTTTCACCCCTTCTCCTCCTGCCTTCAGTCTTTCCCAGCATCAGGGTCTTTTTCAATGTGCCAGTTCTTCACATCAGGTGGCCAAAGTATTGAAACTTCAGCTTCAGCATCAGTTCTTCCAACGAATATTCTGAACTGATTTCCTTTAGGATTGACTGGTTTGATCTCTTGCAGTTCAAGGAACTCTCAAGTGTTTTCTCCAAAACCACATTTCAAAAGCATCACTTCCTCGGTGCTCAGCTTTCTTTATAGTCCACCTCTCACATCCACACATGACTACTGGAAAAACCACAGCTTTGACTAGATGGACCTTTGATTTTTAATGAAAAATTGTAGATTCCTGGAGCTGGGCAGATGCTCCAGAAATGGTTTGGTCTCCATATTTATATGAGATGGGTGATTTATAACATGAAATTTTAAATCAAAGCTTGGAAAAAAAATATATGCTGTTAAAAACTAAGAGTTAAGATTTAAACAGAAGTGTGAAACTGTGTCCCAGGTATGGTCTTTTTCAACCGTGTTTTAAAATAATATGGGCTTCCTTTGTGGCTCAGCTGGTAAAGAATCCTCCTGAAAGGCAGGAGATCTGGGTTTGATCCCTGGGTTGGGAAGATTCCCTGAAGAAGGGGAAGGCTACCCACTCTAGTATTCTGGCCTAGAGAATTCCATGGACTGTATAGTCCATGGGGTCACAAAGAGTTGGACACGACTGAGTGACTTTCGCTTTCACTGAAAAGAATATATCAATTCATTTCCATTTAATGTTTATGTACAGAGTAATAGTTACAGCTTTAAGTACACCAAACTCAGATTACCACGTGCCTGGTTTAAGATGAGCAGTTCAAACCCATGTCTCAGACATCTCTACCTTAGGGTGACTCTGTGCATGTGTGTCTGTTACCTCAAATGTTGAATGGTGAAAGTCTCTTAAGAATGAAAGCTCTGAACCAAAATGCATAAAGAATCAAGGATAACAGTATAAAAATCTTTATAGGAGGATTCTCAGGAAAAGTCATTGGTCTCAGTCAATGGCCAATTTGCTTTAAGTAATATTAAATATTCCAAGAATTTGGGTAGTTTTCTCGTCTTCACTATAACAAACTTTAATGAATGATGTATTACATTCATATTCTTTTAATGTACATTTAATAAGACCATTCTCCTTCTATGATAAGACTCCTCTAAAGTCCAAGAATGAATATCTCTAATGCTATGCATGCTAAGTTGCTTCAGTCGTGTCTGACTCTTTGCAATCCCATGGACAGCAGCTCACCAGGCTCCTCTGTCCACAGAATTCTCCAGGCAGGAATATTGGAGTGGGTTGCCATCTCCTTCTCCAGGAATATTCTAATATTTGCATTTCATTCAGCTGTTTTGGTATCCTATAAATATAAGCTGAATTTGGAAATGTAAATTGCTTTCTAAAAGAAAGGAAGAGAATGAGGAGTTTAAAAATGGATATAGGTATCTTTAAATAAAGAGAAAAGAGGAGAAAAGCTCTCTGAGTTTCTAAGTGGGCCATAAAACATGCTGGCTGGAACAGTATAACTAGTGGAATAAGCACTGAACTTAACTAAAGAATAATTTAACAAAAATTCTATTAATGTGTGTGGTTCAAACTTGAGTGCTACAGATTGGTGGGTTAGGGTGTGCCAAGTTCTTCAGACAATTCTGTGGAGTGAAGAATGTGCAATGAAAGCAACAATCCAGATATGATTAGCACAATCAGTCAAGTAACAGATTTGGGAATGGTGGTGGTTGCGGATGTACACTACACAGCTCCTTTTCACACACAGGCATGCATGCAGTATGAAGGTTTGCAGTCCTTTCATGTTTAAGTGATATACACAGTGGGTGTACAGCTTGAAGATCCAGAAAAAATTTAGGAAATCATATATTCTAAGTCAATGGTGCTGGGAAGACTGTAGAAAGCTCTCCTGAGAGGGATATAGTGACACCAAAGGACTCAGGAAGGACTATTTTGAACATCTGATACTCTGACTATAACATATGTGAGTGTCTCTCCAGCAATATGTACAACATTGCTAAGTTAAGCAATCATTTATTTTTTTTCCCCAAATTAGATTATGGCTTGTTCTTCAACATAAAGAAACAAAAAGCAAATCAGACCTGGAAATGGATGTCACGAGCTAGCATGACCAAATCATGACATTCATTGTTTAATGGTAGACTCAAATGTACAAAATCAAACACATCCATCTGGTTGAGGGCTGCCCAGCAAAGCATTCACCTTGGGGACCATCACCTTCAAGGGAAGTTTATAAACCACACACCAGTGCACATCCAGTGTTTCATTACATTATATCAGAGTTTGTTTTTCATAGCTTTAAAACTGAAACCAATGGAGAGGACAATAAAATAGGTGCACATTTTGACAACATTAGCAATGTCTTTTCTGATGAGTTGTATGCTGCTAAAAACAAATAATGAACCCCTACACAACAAAGTGAATGATCCTTTCCCCAAAACTGAGAGAACTTACAGGTAAATGGCCAAGAAGTGAAGTGATGTTATGGGTCACAGAAATTATAATTCCATCTGTGCTCACTATTATCATAAATCCATCCAATGACTAATGAAAAGAGAATAATAATGTAATTAAGTAGTGGAACAATAATAAAATGATAGCTTTATTTCTAAATGCATAAATAATTGTAATCACACACTGAAAATGTATTGTTGTCCTTAAATATCAATAAAGCAAGCCCAGAATTAATTAAAATTCCATTATTCTCCCTCCTACACAGAATCTACTTAACCTTAAGCATGAGATATTTATCAAATGATATCTCACTTAGACAAACACATTTCAGTGTACACCCAATTAACACAAAACTCTCCAATACAAGCTAGGAAGATTCATTTCCATGTGTTGGTCATTTCACACTTAATTCAAAATTAATTCCAAAAACAGTAAGAATATTTTGGAGGGCATTTTCATTTGTAGTTAATTTAGTCATCTATTTATAAATATGGCTATTGCCTTCACTTTCCTGCTATATAATAGAATAGATATCCAGACAAATGCCTCCTGGTAAAGAACACCTAAAATGGTGGATAAAATATATAAAACAGAGAGAAGCTTATGGTAAAGTACGGGAAACAATCTGATACAGAAATGACTAGAACATGAGAAGTCAGAGGATATCGAAGCTTACATATGCCTTGGGAGCATCTATGCAACATTGATGGCATAGAGCCAGGGGGACAGAAAACAAAGCTTGGACACACACAAAGTGAAGGCTGAAATCAAAGACTCCCATATCAAGCCAGGAAAGGAAACTCTCAGCAGACAAAATAGAAAGATCTTATCCAACAAAGAGAGCCAGGGAACTTACAACCTGCCTATCTTGCCTCAGCCTCAGCTTGGGCTAGAAAAGGAAAAGAAGAACTGGTCTCCTCTGGGAATTGCAAACAGAAGCCCACACTCACACTAACTACCTATGTAGCCCTCAACACCCCAAGCCTATAATTTACTTTCAAATGGTCCTGACCCCAAATATCCAGGAAAAAGAAATTGAACTCACCTCTTGAGAATAATTTTAAAACCAGGGCTCAAAGAATGTAGATAAATTTCCAAATAACATAAGTTTGTCATAAATGATTAACAAAAACAGGGAAAACATGAAACATGAACAAGAGGCAGTGTAAACAATAAAATGCACAATGAGATTTAAAACTGCAGATACGAGAAATATCAGAGATAGAATATAAAATAAGTATGCTTAAAAGCAACTATACTGCAATAAAAATTAATAAAAATAAATAAATATACCAAAAACATGCTTAATATGCTTAAATAAATCTTAAAAGGGTATTGAAAATATAATGAACAGGAGACTCCTAACTGACTAGGCATATGTGAAAATTAATCAGATTGTTTAGAAATGATATTATCAAAATAAAAACTCAATATGTAGGTCAAATAGCAAGTTAGAGCATAGGTAGAAAGATAATTTCTGAACTGGAAGACAAAGCTGAAGAAATGACTCAGAAGCAACACAAGGAGACAAAGGAATGGAAGATAAGAGAAATGAAATAACACAGAGAAGAGCAGGAAAGTGCACTAGACATTTACACATGTTCACTTTACTCTCACAACCACTCTGTGAAACAGAGATATTGTAAAGAGGAAGAAGTCAGAGTTGAGAGATGGCAATTCTCTCAATGATGCATAACAAGTAAGTGATAAAGGAACAGTTCATATCCATATCTATTTGACTCAAAGGATTGTGGTCATTTGGGCTTTAGTCTGTGGCCTTTGAACTCAGTGAAACCTACCAGTTCCTTTGGAAGTAGAAACCATAAACATCTCATGTCCTTGAGGAAAAAAAGTAAGGAATGAAAGGCTTAATCTACAGACTCTAACAACCTGTGTTGAATGAATCTACCAGATAATTAATTAACTTGCCACTAAACTATGCAAACACTTGTTCATTTTTGTTGTCGCTGGAGTTTGGTGGGTTCAGTTGGCATAAGAAACATCCAGGCAACTTTGGATTAGATTATCTTCTCTCCAAAATGATTTTAAAGATGCAAATAAATGAACCTACTGAGTTTAAAAAAAAAAAAAAAGAAAGAAAGAAACATCCAGGCAGCCTGCTAGACATGAAGGCTCCTGGCCCTACCAAGATAGAGATTCCAATTCAAACAGTTTAAGGTGGGTCTCAGGAATCTGTGTTTTTACCAAGTTCCCTAGGTAATTCTGAAGGTAGAGTCCCCTAGCCACACTTTGAAAAATAGTATTCTGTATCTTTTACTGCATGCATTCTGCATATAAAGCAACCAGAGAACAAACTCCCTCTTACTTGTAGTGTCTTCTGGATAAAATCTTCATAGCTTCGAAATGATCGAATCCAATTCAGTGTCTCTGTAGACGTTTTTATGAGGAAGAAAGGATAAAAAACAGTCACATTAAAATGATTAGCTTATGGGTATTGATTTTTCAAAGTTATAATTAATTTTATAGAAAAGACTCTCATGAGAAAATGCTGAGTGCTAATGAAGAATCTGAGGTAGACTAACTAATTGCTTATAACCTATCATCAACAAAGAAGTGTTCAGAATTGAAAAAGACCTTGAAGATCATCCATCTCAATTTCTACTCTATGCAGGATGATCTTTCTAACAACGTTATGATCTTCAACTCCCAGTTCTTTCCCTTTCTTGACTTCTTTAAGTCTTCCAAATTCTATCCAAACCCAATATTCACAATATACCAGATAAGGTACAGGCTGTTGAATGCTCCAGATGTATTAAGACACTGAATATGTCCTCAGTCCCTGGCTAAAATACAGAATTCCATGACTGTTTCATCAAATTAAGCTTTTAGCAAAGGACCTCAACTAGAAAATCCTTAAGCTGTATCTTGTAATTCTCCAAAGATGCGGACACTCCTCTGTCTCCCATACCCCCTTCTCCATGTGTCAAGATTTTCTGGTTTTGAAACTATAAAACTCCTAGAGGAGAACATAGGCAAAACACTCTCCGACATAAATCACAGCAGGATCCTCTATGACCCACATCCCAGAATATTAGAAATAAAAGCAAAAATAAACAAATGGGACCTAATGAAACTTAAAAGCTTTTGCACAACAAAGGAAACTATAAGCAAGGTGAAAAGACAGCCCTCAGATGGGAGAAAATAATAGCAAACGAAGCAACAGACAAAGGATTCATCTCAAAAATATACAAGCAACTCCTCCAGCTCAACTCCAGAAAAATAAATGACCCAATCAAAAAATGGGCCAAAGAACTAAACAGACATTTCTCCAAGGAAGACATACAGATGGCTAACAAACACATGAAAAGATGCTCAACATCACTCATTATCAGAGAAATGCAAATCAAAACCACAATGAGGTACCATTATACACCAGTCAGGATGGCTGCTATCCAAAAGTTTACAAGCAATAAATGCTGGAGAGGGTGTGGAGAAAAGGGAACCCTCTTACACTGTTGGTGGGAATGCAAATTAGTACAGCCACTATGGAAAACAGTGTGGAGATTCCTTAAAAAGCTGGAAATAGAACTGCCATATGACCCAGCAATCCCACTTCTGGGCATACACACCGAGGAAACCAGATCTGAAAGAGACACATGCACCCCAATGTTCATCGCAGCACTGTTTATAATAGCCAGGACATGGAAGCAACCTAGATGCCCATCAGCAGACGAATGGATAAGGAAGCTGTGGTACATATACACCATGGAATATTACTCAGCCATTAAAAAGAATTCATTTGAATCAGTTCTAATGAGATGGATGAAACTGGAGCCCATTATACAGAGCGAAGTAATCCAGAAAGATAAAGACCATTACAGTATACTAACACATATATATGGAATTTAGAAAGATGGTAATGATAACCCTATATGCAAAACAGAAAAAGAGACTCAGATATATAGAACAGACTTGTGGACTCTGGGAGAAGGCGAGGGTGGGATGTTTCAGGAGAACAGCATCGAAACATGTAGATTATCTAGGGTGAAACAGATCACCAGCCCAGGTTGGGTGCATGAGACAAGTGCTAGGGCCTGGTGCACTGGGAAGACCCAGAGGGATGGTGTGGAGAGGGAGGTGGGAGGGGGGACTGGGATGGGGAATACATGTAAATCCATGGCTAATTCATTTCAATGTATGACAAAAACCACTGCAATGATGTAAAGTAATTAGCCTCCAACTAATAAAAATAAATGGAAAAAATAAAAAAATAAAAAAATAAAAAAACAAGGCTATTTGGAAAATTCAAAAAAAAAAAAAAAAGATTTTCTGGTTTTCCCAATGAACACTTTCAGCTCCTGAACTAACTCAGAGCCTCTGCTATCAACATCCACCCCACTTCACCTCCCCCAATCCCACCTGTTCCATTGACTTCACTAACCCAGGGACTTCACTAACACAGCCCTCCAATCTCCAGTTATTTGAATGTATGTCCACAAATGTTTGTTTCTTCTCCTCAGAAATGGTGAGGAGACCCATAAAATTGCAATGCCTATTCAAAATGTTAAATCCCTTGACAAAGACAAATCTGACAGCGGCACTTGCTCTCTTGGTGGGAAGGAGTCTCAGATCCTTCTCTATGAGTAGATAAGAAGGGACCCAGGCATGAGCAGAAGAGCTCCTTGAACCCTCATTTAAGAGGGGATGAGAAGAGGGCATGTATCTACGTGGGAAGGAGGAATAATATGAAACATAAACCATGCCGGTTGCACAACCGCCTCACAATCAGTGTTCCTGACCCCTGTCCCAGCCTGGAAACTGAATTCTAGTCACAACTTCTCCAGCTCAGAAAACAAACCATGCCCCTCTCCCATGGCTGATTTCTGAGGTCATTTCCCCACTGACTTTCAGCTCCACCTAGTGACTTTCATCTCCTATACTCCCTACAAAGAAATACAAAAGACAGTCCATATATTTCCAGAAAATAAAACCTATGTATTTTATAAAACAACCATAAAGGGTTTTTCTACATTAGTATATTACCCATGAACTTGTCCTTGTTTTGTTTCTAGGGTAGGTACCATATACAATTCTTCACTAAAACCCCACTGTTCAGCATAGTATTTGACACACAATAGGAACTTGGCAATTCTTGTTAAGCTGAACCTCATTCATTCATTTATTTAACTACCACCTACTGGGCTCCTACTACATATCCTACTCTGTTTTAGGGGCTAATGATAGAGCATGGACAAGACAAATAAATTGACCATTCTTTTTAATCTTACAGACCGGTGGGGAAGGTAGACAGATAACCAACACATAGACCAGGGAATTGGTCATTGCATGTACCTTGAAGTACAATAACTTCAACTGGATGCCCAGGGAAAGCCTTGCTGACAAAGTGAAAAATGGCAGGAAGAGAGCCATGAGAAAATCCAGGAGCAAGAAGAGCATCTCAGGCAGAGGAAGCAGTAAGTTCAAAGGGAGACAGGAAAGATTTTGGCCAATTTAACTAACAGGAGGTCAAAGGGACTACTGTAGGGTGACCAAGGGATAGAGCAGTGGGAGATGAAGTCTGAGAGACAGGTAGGACCAGATTATGTAGTGTATGTGAGGGAGCCAGCATTGTTTTGAGTGGAACAGCATGTGCTTTCAAGCAGAAGAGTGACATACAGGTTTTTTTTTCCTAATATTTTTATTAGAAAATATATTTTTCTATATTTTGTTGAGGCAAACATGAAGGAGTTCCCCAACCAGGGGCCCCTGCATTGAGAGCACAGGGTCCCAATCACTGAACCATCAGGGAGGTCCCTTCATATATATTTTTAAAAGATCACTATGGCTGTTTATGAAAAATAGGTCAAACTAGGGAGCAAGAGTGAAGCAAGGGAGCCTCGCTGGAAAGCGTGTTCAAATGGAATAGATGGTGGTGGCCTGGACTAGGTTGGTTCACCAAGGCTATGTAAGTGGCAGAGTGAACGGATTTGAGATATACTTTAGAAGCAAAGCTAAAAGGATTTGCTGATGATGGTGGAGGACACAAGAATGACAGCTGGAGTTTATTTTGAGCTGCTAGAAGAATGGTGGTACTTATACTGAAACTGCGAAAATCAAGCCTGGGAGTGTGAGAGGAATTGAGAGGTCCTAAATGGCGATGTTACCTTTCCTGTTAGACATCCAAGCAAAGAAGTCACAGAGGAAACTCTCACGCTGATTTAATAATGAGTATGATTCTCAAGTATGGAGGTAAGGGAGGAGGTTAGGGCTGCAGTTAGATTTTAAAAGTGGGAGGCACTGACATCCAGGTAGCCCTTCAAATTAAGGGACTGGATGAGATTACGTGGGAAATGACTGTAGACAGAGAAGACAAAAGGTCCTAGGACTGAGCCCTAGGGCATATCCATGATTCAAAGTTGAAAAGGGAAAGAGGGGATGGGAAAAAGAGAGAGAGAAGGAGTGGCCAATGAGTTAGGAGAGAAGCCAGAATCCAGTTACCCAGGTATCCTGGAAGCTGAGAGAAAAATGCTTGGAGAAGGAGCGAGTGGTCACCTGTCCAATGTTTTTGAAATATCATGAAAGATGAGGATAGTTAAGGGACCAAAGACCTCAGCAATGTGGAGACCACTGCTATTCCTGACAGAAGTAGTTGTCCTGGAGTGGGGGGAGCTCCAGGCTCAGTGAAGTGGGTTGAGAAAGGACGGGGCACGAGGAAGTGAACACAGGGTCGATACAATCATTTCGAGAAGTTTTGTTGTGAAGGGGACACAGAAATAGGGCAACAGCTGAAGGTATCATGGGGCCAAGAAAAAATATTTTTAAGGTAAGAGAGATCTTCTATAGCATGATTACATGCTTATGAGCATAACCTGCTCAGATGTTTTCAGTTAAATATACTTAAATATTATAGGTACTATTTGACACCCTTGGGACCCTGTTTCCCTTAGCAACATTTATATATGCCTTCAAGTGCCTAAGATACAGAAATCTGCACTACTGTTGCCCAGAATACTTCTACTAATTCTCATTTCCTTATTCCACTTTTGCATGAACTTCAGTAATGCTTTTAGCATCGAGCATAAGAAAATTATAAATGGAGAGAAACTAAATATCCACATAATAGATGCTTCAGGAGGTCATCTCGTCATTGCTGCTGCTGCTGCTATTAGTATTTAGTCATTCAGTCGTGTCCAACTCTTTGTGACCCCATGCACTATAGCCTGCCATGCTCCTCTGTCCATTAGATTTCCCAGGCAAAAATACTGGAGTGGGTTACCATTTCCTCCTCCAGGGGATCTTCCCAACCCAGGGATCGAACCCGCATCTCCAGCATTGGCAGGCAGATTCTTTACCACTGAGTCACCAGGGAAGCCCCATCTCGTCACTAATCCCACACAGTGATGTATGAGGTAAAGAAGAGTTTCAGTTGTCTCACCCACAGCTAATTTTCAATATAGCTAAGCTCAGTTGAAACCTGTTTTTTGTGAAAGAGCAGAAATACCTTGTGAATTTTCCGCTTTGTTTTTCCCCACAGGACTGTCCTCTCTTTGCAAAAAATCATGTAGTCCTTTGAGGAGAGTATTGGTTCTATTCCTACTCTGGCCTTCAGGCGGATCTCCATATCTAATTGATAAAAGACAAAAAAGGTTATTCATAAGGGTACATGCATGCTAAGTCGCTTCAGTTGTGTCTGACTCTGCAGCCCTGTGTACTGTAGCCTGTCAGGCTCCTCTGTCCATGGGATTCTCCAGGCAAGAATACTGAAGTGGGTTGCCCTGCTCTCCTCCAGGGGATCTTCCCCACCCCCCGCCCCCCAGGGATCGAACCCATGTCCTTACGTCTCCTGCATTAGCAGGCAGGTTCTTTATTATTAGCACCACCTGGGAAGCCCATAATAAGGGTAGGACTGAGAATTCAAATGATAGAACAATGGATGGGGAGAAATAAGGAGAGAGAAAGGGAGATATTATTGTCAACATCTGGGCAAAAATCTGGTCCTTTGATAACTCATATAACACAACTGTCAACATTAAAATAAGAATATGAAAGCCAATCTCGTGTCCCTCAGACTCTGAGGCTGTTGAGGGTAGGTTGGGACCATATTTGTCTCCATGTTTCCAATAGCAAAGTCCACACAGTGTCTTGCATAGTGGCTTATGAATTATATCAAATAAGTCCAAATGAATTTGAATATAATGGTGGCTCTTTGTTCTACCATATATTACCTGCTTTTTCAGAGTACTTCTGATTAAAGAAAACTGTTTCTAAATCAACTCTAATTACTGAAGAGACTTTCTTGAAGCCAATGCTCCCTCTCACAGAGAAAGTTGAGCAACGAAATGCTAATTTAGATTTCAATTTTTAACTTTAAAAAAACACAGACCATTCTGAAAAATTCTGACAAAAACTTTTTGACCAGTAGGATGAAATTCTCAAACTGGAAAAATGACATTATTAACCTTCTCAAATGTATATGAATTTCAATTCTAGGCAAGCCAAGGCCCCCAAGCAGACTTTTCAACTGATCAGGGAGTATAAAGCGTTTATTCAGTGTCAGCTCTGAGCAACCACTGTGCAAGGCAGGGAGGGCACAGTTCGATGAGGGAGGCTGTCAGGACATAGAGGGTGAGCATGCATGCTCAGTCACTCAGTTGTGTCTAACTCTTGCAACTCCATGGACTGTAGCCTGCCAGGCTCCTCTGTCCATGGGATTCTCCAGGCAAGAATGCTGGAGTGCGTTGCCGTTTCCTCCTACAGGGGATCTTCCCGACCCAGGGATTGAACCTGAGTCTCTTAGTCTCCTGCATTAGCAGGCTGGTTCTTTACCACCAGCACCACCTGGGAAGCCCACAGGAAGCCTACAAAGTGTTATAATACAATTAGGGTGAGGGATATGAAGTACCCATCAGAGAGTCAAATTTCTCTGAGTTAGTCAAGTTTCCCAGAGGAAGTAGAATTTTGCAAGATATGAAATAGGAAGGGAGGACAGGGGAGAAGTGTTTGAGGAAAATATCAGTCAATTAGGAATTCATACCGCATCCGTTTTCTTCCGTCACCTTCATCCATTTTTCAGTGATATAATAAAGAATCCTGAAATCAAAGTGGAGCCACATTTTACTAAGAAATCAGTCTATGATGAATCACATAAAGCAATAAGATTAATCAAAATTCTCAATTTCCCTTGAGGAATGCCTACTTCTTTTAAAGAGAATCTCATTAAGCATCTGTAGATGGTAAAGACTTGCTTTATTGTGTGATCCCCAATGAATGTTTGTCACAATAATACTACAAATGAATGTATTTGGAAAATGTTGCAAAAACACTGTGAAGTTACACAACTTAATCCCAAAGTCAGGTACTTGTTGGTTTACTTCTGTACCCTTAGATTCCTTTAACTTCCACTGATTTCATGAAACAAAGACAGTGAAAGAAAGACAGATGTGGATTGAAAACTTCATACCTAGCCACTATATCATGCCACAATAGACAAAAGCCTGCACTTATCATTGATATCACAGAAATCTTCAGCATAGAAGAATGGCCTTGACAACACCAGAAGTCTCTGCTTTGAATTGTGTAATTAGACTCACACATCACCTCAAGGTTGAAACCTCAATATAGAAGTCAATGACATTCAAATACATATGCATTAAATAAGAGGGAACTGTTAAAATATAGCAAACATCTTCTAAATGCTCTCAAGAAAATAAGAGAAAGCTCGGGTGTCAAACCCTGGGCAGATACTGAGAACAAGCTGGTTAGTTCACCAACCTGTGCTGCTGGGGAGATGATTAAGCATAACTTACATCCCTCACATCTAGCAGAGTGCTGGGAAAAGACTGAAAAAATGAACAGAGCTTTCAGGTGGGATATCATCAGGCAATCTAAAATATAGGTAACTAGATTCCTAGAAGGGAGAGGAAAAGTAATATTTGGATAATGGCTAATTGTTCCCATACTGGATGAAAAACATAAATTCATATATTCTTGAAGCTCAATGAATCCAAGAACTAAACACCATGAAAAGCTTACCAAGGCTTGAAAAGCAATTGCAAAGCAAAAGCAATTGCAAAGAGAAAATCTTAAAAGCAAACAGAAATAAAAGATACATTTAATACAGAGTGGGGAAGAATGTCCTCTGTCTGACTTCTCATCAGAATAACCCAAGCCAAGAGAAAATGAAACATCTTTAAAGTTCTGGGCAAACAAATCAACCTAGAATTCTATATCTATTAAGACTGAACCCTTCAAAGAAACTGAAGGTAAAATAAAGACACCTCCAGATGAACAAAAAATGGAAGAAGTCAAGGCCAGCATACTAGCACTATCAGAAATGTTAAAGGAAGGACTTCAAATGGAAGGAAAAGGATGCCAGATGCAAAGTTATATCTACATAATGAAATGAAAAGAACTGGAAATAATATGTACATGAGTAAATATAATATTTGCATCTTCAATTTCTTTAGAAGATAACTGAAATAAAAGCAAGGAACTGTAAGGTTTATAATACATATTGATATCAAATCTATTACAATAATAATACAAAAGACAGAAGAGTGGAAAGCAAAAACCTACTGTTATGAGGTTCTTACATTATACATGAAGTGGCACAATGTTAATTCACATCAGACAGTAATAAATTAAAGATGTATACTATAAACTGCCTAGAGCAACAAATAAAACACACATGAGACATAGATTACAAATAAAAAGAGATAAAATGGAATATTAATTAGTCATTTCATCCAGAAGCAGAAAAGGAAGGCAAAGAAAACAAAAATCAAATGGGACAAACAGAAAACATATAGAAAGAATTAAACATCACTGTATTAATAATTATGTTAACTGTCAGTGAACTAAAGGCACAAATACAAAGCCTAGGAGTGTCAAAACTGGGGACAAAAGTAAGACCAAACTGTCTTGTCTACAGGATACTCACTTGAATTATAAAGTCACAGCTTCACTTGAATTATAAAGTCACAGCCTATAAGTAAAATAACAGAATATATATACTATGTAACCCTAATGATGTAAAGCTTAAGTGGCTAATTAATATTAAAGATTCTAGGTAAGGAATAGCCTTAGAGTAAAAGAAGGACATTTCATTATGATAAAGGAGTCAATCAAGAAGGTAAAACAATCCTAAACAGGTATACTCCTAATTACAAAGTTTGAAAGTGAAGTAAGAACTAAAAGGAGGAATAAACAAACCTACAATTACATCTGATAAGTTTAAACACTCCTCTATCAGTAATTAATGGACCAAATAAAGAGAAAAGAAGTAAGGATACTGGAGACTTACTAGCCTGCCAACAGACTTGGCCTCATTTGATGACAGGCTGCGCTAAGCAACAGTAGAACACAAGCGTAACATTCCAACTGTCATGATGATTCAAAATGTACTGGTCCATGAGACCAGTTTCAGTGAATTTAAATCATTAAAGGCATACAGACCATGTTCTCTGATGAAAACAGAATTAAATTAGAAATCAATAATAAACAGATAAATCCCTGGAAAACCCCCAAACATTTGGAAATTAAATAACATCCCTGTAAATAATTTCTGAATTAAAGAATAAACCTTTGGAAAAGGCTTAAACACAAAAAAAATCAGACAGTATTTCTAACTGGATTATAATTAATATTAATGTTAAATTCCAAAATATTCAATAACCTAATTGTAATTTATTAAAATTGCATTATATGTATTTATGGTGTTATAAAGTCCCATCAAAAAAAAGCCAAATCTCAATAATCATTCAAATCACTTTTTTGTGTCCTTAAATAACACATGATTCTTTGTATATACAGTAAAAGAAATTATGCAGTGTTAGGGGCTAATTTAACAAAATGTGCAAAACTATTACACAGAAAACAATGTCTTTATTGATTAACATAAAAATATCTAAATAGGGACATCCTTGGTGGTCCAGTAGCTAAGACTCTGTGCTCCCAATGCAGGGGGCTTAGGTTCCATCCCTGGTCAGGGAACTAGATCCCACATGCTGTAACTAAGACCCAGCACAGCCAAATAAAGAAATATTTTTTTAAAAAAATCTAAATAAATAGAAAGAACATCATATCCCTGGACAGGAATTTTCATAGTTTTATCAGATCTCCCCAACTAATCTACAAATTAACTTTGATCAAAACTCAGTATATTTTTGTTTGGGTTTGGTTTTCTATATAACTTTTATAATTACAGAATTCCCATCAAGATCAACAAGTCAGAAATATCTACAATAATTTTGAAGAATAAAAATGTACAAAGATGTGTTCTACTAGACATCAAGACTTCTTTGAGGTAAATAGATAAGGGTACAAAGCATAGGACAGAAGAGACCCATTAGGAACAGTTCCATACATAAATAGAAATTTGATTTGTGACAAAAAATCATTATAATTTTGAAATTTCTACTAAATCCCTTAGGATTATACAGTGAAAATGAGAAATAGATACAAAGGATTAGTCTGACACAGTACCTGAAGAACTATGGACAGAAGTTCGTGACATGGTACAGGAGACAGGGATCAAGACCATGCACAAGAAAAGGAAATGCAAAAGGCAAAATGGTTGTCTGAGGAGGCCTTAAAATAGCTGTGAACAGAAGAGAAGTGAAAGGAAAAGGAGAAAAGGAAAGATACACCCATTTGAATGCAGAGTTCAGGAGAGATAACAAAGCCTTCCTCAGCAATCGATGCAAAGAAATAGAGGAAAACAATAGAATGGGAAAGACTAGAGATCTCTTCAAGAAAATTAGAGATATCAAGGGAACATTTCATGCAAAGATGGGCTCAATAAAGGACAGAGATGGTATGGACCTAACAGAAGCAGAAGATATTAAGAAGAGGTGGCAAGAATACACAGAACTGTACAAAAAAGATCTTCATGATCCAGATAATCACAATGGTGTGATCATTGACCTAGAGCCAGACATTCTGGAATGCAAAGTCAAGTGGGCCTTAGGAAACATCACTATGAACAAAGCTAGTGGATGTGATGGAATTCCAGTTGAGCTATTTCAAATCCTGAAAGAGGATGCTGTGAAAGTGCTGCACTCAATATGCCAACAAATTTGGAAAACTCAGCAGTGGCCACAGGACTTGAAAGGGTCAGTTTTCATTCCAATCCCAAAGAAAGGCAATGCCAAAGAATTCTCAAACTACCACACAATTGCACTCACCTCACACGCTATTTAAGTAATGCTCAAAATTCTCCAAGCCAGGCTTCAGCAATACATGAACCATGAACTTCCAGATGTTCAAGCTGGATTTAGAAAAGGTGGAGGAAC